GGGAAAATTCAAGTCCCGTTCTGCGAAAAGCTTGACTGTGGAAATTTTTTTCCTATTCATCAATTTTTAATGAATGAACTTGAGCTTTTTTTTTGTTGTCCTTTTGATCACTTCAAAATCATTACTAATTTAATCTATGGTGACTCTCTTGAGGGGGCTTTTAGCTTTTCAGTCTATATAACATGGAAACCTGCCATCCAACACTACGATTTCTCACCTGACTTGCTTAATCTGTGCGTCACCAACTCGAATAGGTATTGAGACGACATTTTTCAACACTCGTCCTTGAGCGTCAACGAAATTCGTCTGCAGTACTGGGTTTACTCCGTAATTTGCCGATGATGGTAGCTGAAAATTTCCAGTTTCCAAGTTTTCTACACTTTTCATTCCTCACTGCAAATTACAGTTTTCGGTGGAGGTCGTGCAGGTGGCGGAGCTGTAATCGGCTCCTCTGTAACCACACCGAAGAATGATCTTGAGGAAGTAGGCTGCAATTGTAGGGTCATTTAAATCTCCAGAAAATAAATAACCCTAATAGAATCAAAAGTTCACCTTTTTATACTTCCTGTTCTTAGTAAGAATCAAGGTTTGCGAACCAAGCGGAACATGTTCCTTTTTGTTAGTGTCGTTCTGTAAGAAAAACCTCTAATACACGACAAAGGCCTGGTACATATATCCAAGATAGAATTCGTACAACTGCATTCAATGCCGCCATCATTCTGGACCTCAATCGAAGATTGGGTGGTTCTCTGGATACCTCTGCAGGAGCAATACTCTGCATAAACCAAATTTTTAAAGAAGACTTACGCTATGCCTACTGTAAGACTAGCAAATTAGCAGATTATTGGTTCTGCATTTTTAAAATAAAATTTCGTGTGTTCGAGGAGCAGTTTTGATATTCGAGTGATAAAATAATCATGGTATGACTTATACGCTCCGAGACTGAACTTGCCCTCAAAAAGCCTTCTTAACTGCAAAATTTGTTTAGGAAGGCTCCAAATATTCGAAATTTATGACACTAGGGCAAAAATGGAAAACATATATGGAGAGTGCCACTTCAAATTTGGACAAAAGTCCTAGGAATTGCAAAATTTTGATGAATAAGTTCAAAGCTTCCATAACTGCACACTTTAGCAAATTGTGCAGCATATAAATGGAAAAAAAGGCTAAAAATTTGAAAAAAAATTAACCAGAGCAGCTTTTGGTTGCTCTTCACCGATTGCTTTTGCTGGTTTTAGATTCAGCCCTATTGGTGGAGACATCGGCAGCGCACAACCTGAGAGCATCAGAAGAGCGAAAGACAGACGAAACATCTAAACGGGAGATATTACAACGTCATAAAATATATTTTTAGATTATTGATTGTTCAGCCAAAACTATAAAAAGCTATAGCATAGAGCAATGACTACAAAACAAAGGATAAATGAAGATGACTTAAAATTTAAAGATATGTTTGTGCTGAAAAGGACAAAACGCAGCTTCGACTAGCAGCTGTAGATGTGAATCGACATATGTCGCTGACCTGGATCTTCTCGCGCAGATCCCGTCGAGATTTCCGCGTACTCAGTCAGAAACTGGATGAACGAGAAACATTGCTTGTAATTGATGAAATAACACAATTGAACTCATTAAGAAAACTTTATTGAAGCGACGAAACTCCTATATATGCCCGATTTTTTGGAAAAATTTTCTTGACGTTATAATGAGATAAGGATGGCAACTTGCTATGTTAACATGAATTTTTGGGATTGCAGCTTAAGATAATATCGATTATTTCCTTGCCCTAAATTATTCCCTTTATTTCGATTTCATATCAAAAAATTAACATTCTTCTTGTGAAGCAGTCCATATTTTCTCTTATCTTGAAACCTGGGCATTATTTAGTATATCTTGTTTTCTTTAATGCCGTTACAGGTTGTTAGTGAAACACTTTATTTCGAAGCCCAACGTTTCGGCACAACGCCTTCTTCAGAGGCCTGAAAGTGATTCATTCACCTTTTATCACACGTTCCAACCCACCAAACACCTCCTCCAGCCCGTATATCCGAATCATCCATTATGACCGAAGCTGGCTCAGAACTGACATCAACTCACCAGGTGTTTCACCTGCTTAGCAAGAGATAATCAAACGTCTGCCTGCTTTTAATGATGACTGTACTAGGCGGTTCAAGATGACTTGAACACGCTTAAATAGTGGCAAGCAATCTCAAAGATTGCAGAATGACAGAAACGGCTGTAGATCATTTGTAATAGATAGATGCTCATTCTTGCTGTTCATTTTAGGTATTTGCGTAAGTATCCAAAAGGCTTCTAAGGCTTTTCGAGAAGAGATATTTCCCTCCAACGCTAGAATTGTGCATCTTATGTCAAAATCGGGCCGTTATGGTCTTCTTTCCTATGCTTTCTCAAAGGGCTTACAAGACTTGTACTAGCCAAGTGCTCATTTACACGTACAAGAAGTGGTCGACCGGTCTCGCCGATGTAGGTGGCATGGCATTCCGTGCACTCCAGTTGATAAACTACTCCGCATTTGGAGCAGTCTCCCAATCTTCCGTTTGGACACACTACGCAATTCGGCGTGATGCAAGCTCTATCAAATAATCTATTGCGAACTAGTTGCCTCTTAATATTAATCCTAGGAATGTTCACAAGGACAACATCATTTTCCAACTGTGCTTGCACTAAGCATTGTTTCAATGCGACGATGCAATTTGTCGGAGATGAACGGTAAACATAATGGAAAAGTTCCAGTATGTTCTCTTTTGTTCATGAATGTTCTTGTGGAAGATTTGGCTTGGAGCGAACAACCGTTATTGGTTATTATTTGGGATATCATTCTTACAGACTCTAGTCTCTCACTTTCACCACTGCTAACACTAACTGCTGTTTAAACATATTGCGAATTATTGCACGTTTTATAGCAATAGGATCGGCGGATTTTGCGTGTAAGATGATATTCTTAGAGCTCTCCTTTCGATACCATTTTACGTGTACCGCTCCGTGGACTAACATCAACTGTGTATTGAGGTACGGTAACCAAGCGTCGCGTGCTTTTCCCTTGTAAGACTAATGTACTGTGATTGATGATTGAGTATTCTAAAACATTCATCCATTTCGGATTGAGTGGATGTAATAATGCAACAATCATCGATGTAGCGGTAGTACATTAGGGGGCATCGTTCTAGCACCGGCTGTTCGATCTTATACATAAAACAGATGGCAAGCACAGGTGCCAGTCTTTGCCCTTCTTGAACCGCCTAGTACAGTCATCATCAAAAGCAGGCAGACGTTTAATTAGCTCTTGCTAAGCAGGGTGAAACACTTGGTGAGTTGATGTCATTTCCGGGCCAGCTTCGGTCATAATGGATGATTCGGATATACGGGATGGAGGAGGTGTTTGGTGGGTTGAAACGTGTGATAAAAGGTGAATGAATCACTTTCAGGCCTCTGAAGAAGGCGTTGTGCCGAAACGTTGGGCT